TTGACGGCTCCTGCTAGCTATCCCGTGGATGCTATCACGGAGTCTCAAAATTGCCACCTTATGACGCAATGGATGAATTTGAAGGTCAAGGCGGCTGTTGGCTCTGTTTATCCTACTGAACCCGGCGCAACTTTTCACTGCCGGCCGATTCCAGAAGGATATGCTAGGGTGATGGTGGATGAAATAACGGAGGGATTTGAGGACCTCCAGCTTGACCACCCTACCGGTGAAGGGGAGACTCGGCTGGGGTCTGCTCTGAAGACTCCATGCCTATGGCGGAAGGAGCTCATCAACCTTCCGAACTGGACGCCTCCGCCTCCTCCTCCTCCTCCAGCGAGTCAGGGCACTCCGCCTCCTCCACCGCCTCCTCCTTCGGCGAGTGACGATCAAGGCCCTCGGCCGGCTCCTTCTCCGGCGCGTGGCGGCACTCCGCCTGCGCCGGCGCGCCCGAGCAGCCAGCCTCCTCCTTCTCCGCCTTGTCAGCAAGGGCGGAAGAGACCCGCCGCCGCTCCGGCAGCTGCTCCGGCGCGTTGTAGTCCTTCTCCTCCGCCTCGTAAGCAAGTAAAGAAGACAACCGCTTCGTCTGCTCGGCCGGTGTCTAGCAGTACAACCAGAGGCGGGAGGACATACAGATTCGGTCCTTCTCTGAAGAGTCCACAGAAGTTACCATACGAGAGGACCCCGGAGGAGAACGCAAAGATCGCGCGAACCAAAGTGGATGACTGGTTTCAAGGGTTGAAAGCAAAGAGACATCCACCTCCGGAGGAGAAGGTAGATCCGGTGAAAGTGAAGCGCACTCTGGCTGCCCTGGCAAAACCACCCAAGTCTCCGCCGAAAGGCAACTATGAGCGCATTATTGCAAAGACATGGGCCGAAGCGGAGCGGTCGGGAAGTACAGTCAGTGATCAAAGGCTGAAAGAACAATGAGCAGTTGGGAAACAAATTGCCCAGCTCGACGAACAAGCGAAGCAATCGTGCCCCCCGCTCAAGGTGCCTAGCGACATCGTCGATCCGAGGATGGTGCCCGATTATGGCAATGTTGACGATTACCTGCCCGACGATGTACATTATGATCCCATGGAGGTGCAGATACACAGATACAAGTACGGGAAGCCTCTCGTCAAATATGAAAAATCTTTAACAACGATGATGTGAAGATTACATGATTGATACTTGAAAATCTGTAGAGAGTCTGGGGGGAGGAGTACTTTGTATGCGAGAGTTAAACCGGAGCATGAGCTCGTTGGAATTGAACTGTTGCCTATTCCATTTGAGGAGTTCTATCAGTTTTTCAATTAATTGGCCCTCGATAAAACAATGATCACCTGCTACTGTCTGTAAGTACTATTACTTCTGTCATTAAGTCTCTCTATATAGCTCATCTCTTTCATTGCATGTATTTATAATTATCCTCACTATATTATGCAGATTGAAGATCGCCGAATTGAAGAAAAGACAAATCAGTGATATTGGGTTCGTTAACACATATCTCATAGATGCAACTGAGGTTGAACATCGTCCCGAAGATATCGAGGCCAACTTGCTACGATCATTCAAAAAAAATGAAAACAAAGATATAATACTCTTTCCTTACAACTTCAAGTGAGTGTTACTGTCTTGTGCATATTCGGTTTCCCTTATATATTAGTCCAGGTTATAGTAATGTAATTGATGAGTTATGCATGCGTGTGCAGTTTCAACTATATTCTCCTAGAGGTTAGGCTTGAGTAGGGAGTAGTAACCGTCTTGGACTCTAAACGAAAAGATCCCCAGGAGTATGCGGACATGACTGAAATCCTCAAGAAGTAAGTTAAATCGATCATTATCCACCATATCAACAACTTTGTTCATTTCTTGATATCAAGTAATTGTTTTGTTTGTCCGGCAGGGTTTGGAGAAAATTCACCAGAAAAGTTCCGGGACTGCCGAAGGAGCTGGAATTTAGACACCCGAAAGTAAGTACTATAGTAGCATGTTCCGCGCATCTCCTAGTGATTCAAGCGCTAATTTCATCAATACCATTTAGCATTCTTACTTATCAGTTTGATTGACCTCTATTTCTTGTAAAGTGGTTGTGGCAGGAACAAGGGAATGATTTCTGTGGATATTACGTCTGTGAGTCCATCCGCCACACGACCTGTGAGCGGGGCGGGTACTCTGACGAACAATATGAAGTACGTAAATAACAACATTCACAATTTTATTTTATTACCATCATTTGTGTTGAGTTCCATTCATTCATATATATATGTATTGACCCCCTTCTTCAAATTAGATGTTTCGGAAGCGGGATGAACTCCTAGCACCAGCTCGCATGCGAGCAATTCAAGAGGAATTGGCGGCATTCTTTCTTGACCACGTGATCGCTAAAGACGGAGAATACTATGTGGACCATGAGTCCGTATGATTATATTTGTAAGAGATAATTATTGTATATATGTAGCCGATAGTGTCGGATAGATATACGAGAACTTGTTGTTCGACCAATCTCTCGGAGAAGGAGAGGTGGTCGATATCACTTCTCTCTGTATGCATATATGTTCATAACGATCTTCTGTTTCCTTCGTTTGCTTACTAGCTAGCTAGCGTGTCTAGTCCTCTCTATACGTATGTATAGTACGTAGCGTCGACCAAGCACGGACATAAGAGAGGATACTTCTCTCTATTAATTATAGCTAGCTAACACAATATATGAAACACCTAAATTAACCCCCCAAAAACCCCCAAACACCCCCCTTTCAAAAAAAAACAAAAACCCGAACCACAGAAATGTTGACGCGTGGATGCCTATTGGTCCCGGTTGGTGCCACCAACCGGGACCAAAGGGTCTCCTGTCTGGGCTCTGCGCACAGGCCACATGGATGCCCATTTGTCCCGGTTCTGGATTGAACCGGGACTAAAGGGACAGGGCATTAGTACCGACCCTTTAGTCCCGGTTTCAGAACCGGGACAAAAGGCCCTTACGAACCGGGACAACAGACCCTTTTTCTACCAGTGCATTGACCTATTTATAATCAACTTTCTCTGAAAATACTCCCTAGCTATTCGCTTTCCGCGCACAATCAAGGACATACTCGATCTGGTAGGAATTCATTGCGTTTGCACAAATGGCGCTTGGATCCGTCGGGCCTGGTGGTGGGATGCGCGTCTTGGCGGCGGATGCGCGTCTTGGCGGCCTCGCTGGACGTGGTGCGGTCCGTCTGGCGCCCCCAACACCTGAGTGGCGGCATGGCGCGCCATTCCCGTTGCGCTGCGCTTCGAGTCGAAGGTAAATGACGACATGCATTATGGGCCGTCCGGTGTTATGGAGCGACGTGCCCGCCGTGCAAGGCAGCGGGCGAAGGATGCTACGGTACACCTTGCGGCCGATGCCACGGAGGCGGAGTTGCACGCCGCCGTGGTGCCGCAACAGGTGGCCGGCACCCCTTGGTGCGGCAACCGTGTGGTGGAGGTGCCGGCCTCCAAGCACCAAGGGTCTATCGTCGATCTCACCTCCACGAGCGACGACCAGGGTGCAACCTTTGATGAGGAAGACTAGAGCGCAGGAGACGGCGGTGCCTCCAGTCCCATGTGGGCTCCATGGCGACTGGGCCTTCGCTTCGCGGGTCTCACGGCCGTCATATATGGGCACGGAAGGGAACAACAAGGACAAGGACGGACTCCGGCAAAGACTGGACTTGATTTTATATTGCATGTAATTTTATAGACTTGAGGATTTGCTAATGAGATATTCGGTTGAGGACGAGGACATTTATAAGACATCTAAGAGCCTGAATCTGCCATGTCGGGCTGCAGCAGATGCTCTAAACCCGGGCAACGATTGAGAAGGAAGGATGATTAGATTAGAAAAGAAGCCCTGGCTGAATTTGTCTCATCTTCCTCCCAAAAAACAGAATTTGTCTCATCTGCCGTTTCGAGTGGGCCGGCGGAACCAATCAGCAGCAGAAACGGCCGGCCGGCTGACCGCGGCTGTTTTGCACTCCACCGTGACCGTGAGAGATTGGGGCCCACAGTCCACACGTGAGAGTGCGTACATAGGAAGGAGTAAATGGCGTGTGCTGGCCGGGCAGTCCCTGTCGAAGCGAGCTTTGGAATTTTGCATGGTCGACGAGCAAGAGAGAGAGGTAGAAAGGGAATAAAGATAAAATAGGTGCGGGCCGGGAGATCAAGTCAGAGCATTTCGGTCGGTCCAAACGTATTTCAGACGGGCTGACCGGACGGATCCTCCAAAGGCAAGGCGTGGAGTGGAGTAGTAGTACTCCATTCTAGAAATCTTCTTCTTCGTCTTCCTCCCGTCCGGCGGCGGCCCGGTCCTCCGTTGGCGCTGGGGGATCCTTTCTTCCGCATCAGGTACCTACTTTGCAAGTAATTTTGAATTGGTGCCCAATCCTTCCTCCTCTCTCAATAACTATGTTTCTCCTTCCCCCAGCCCCCATCCTGCCTGACTGCTTGTGTGTTGTGTGGCCGAATTGGGTCACCACTCTCAAGGTTGCTTAACTCCGTAAGGTTTTGTGGTCTCAAGAAGCTCTCCTTCTGAACAATAGATAGATAGGCCACATATCTGCTTCTGTTTATCTCCTCAGGTTTTATTGCTTCGGTTTTCCTCTTTTACTTTAGTTTTCTGCTTTCTTGCTTGTACATATCTGCTTCTTTTCCCCCATCTAACGCTACGGGGAACATGATATCTTCTTCTGAATCTGGCTTTGTAACAAGCTGCCTACCCAAACAAAAAAATAATAATATCTTACCTGTATATGTGCTTTCCATTTTTGTCTGACATACTACTAATGTTGCATGGCAGCCCTTCTTAATTGTACCACTTTATTGCTCATTCCCTGCTCTTTTCTTGCTCCAAATCATGCAGGTTACTTACTGCAGCGCCGCAGTAAGAGAGAGAGAGAGAGAGATTGCTTCATGAATTGGACAACTGTCATATTATGCTACTGAAAGAAACTTAATTTCATTTCCATTTGTGTGCATCTGTATCATCCTTCATCAGCATGGCCGGAAGCTCGGATTATCGGCCTTTTAACCTGGCAGCAAGAGTCGTAGGAAAGAGACGACGACTCATACTACCTGCCAAGTTGAAGTCGGCGATACCCGCCATTGCTCTGGTTCTGTCGGCGGTGGCCATTGTTGCTGTCATAACTCAGCACCACCGGAACATCACCTACTTCCTCCGGCCGCTGTGGGACACGCCGCCCAAGCCCTTCACCGTCATCCCGCACTACTACGCCCCCAACACATCCATGGCCGAGCTGTGCGCGCTCCACGGCTGGCGCGCCCGCGCCTCCCCTCGCCGGGTCTTCGACGCCGTCCTCTTCAACAACGAGCTGGACATCCTGGAGATCCGCTACCGCGAGCTGCTCCCCTACGTCCACAAGCTGGTCATCCTGGAGGCCAACGCCACCTTCACCGGCATCCCCAAGCCGCTCTCCTTCGCCGAGAACCTGGAGCGCTTTGCGTTCGCGAGGTCCAAGATCGTCTACGACAGGCTCCCCATCGCCACACCGAGACCGGGGTCTCGTCGCCGGGAAGAGCCATTCGACGTGGAGGCCCGGCACCGGCGCGCGCTGAACGCGCTGCTGCGGCGGTCGGGCGTCGCGGGCGGGGACGTGGTGATCATGGCGGACGCGGACGAGATCCCGAGCCCGGAGACGGTGCAGCTGCTGCGGTGGTGCGACGGGGTGCCGGCGGTGATGCACCTGCAGCTGGAGAACTACGTCTACTCCTTCGAGTTCCCCGTGGACCAGGGAAGCTGGAGGGCGACGGCGCACATCTTCAGCGAGCGCACGGCGTACCAGCACTCCCGGCAGAGCGACCTGATCCTGGCCGACGCCGGGTGGCACTGCAGCTTCTGCTTCAGGGAGATCGCCGAGTTCGCGTTCAAGATGAGAGCGTACAGCCACGCGGACCGGGTGCGGCGGCAGAGCTTCCTCGACCCGGCGAGGATCCAGCGGGTCGTCTGCGCCGGCGCCGACCTGTTCGACATGCTCCCCGAGGAGTACACCTTCAGGGATCTCTTCAAGAAGATGGGGCCAATACCCAGGTCGGCGTCGGCCATGCACCTGCCTTCCTATTTGATCAAGAACGCACGCAGGTTCAGCTTCTTGCTTCCTGGTGGATGCTTGAGATCAGGTTAAAACAATCACTGTTTTACTTGTGAGTTTGTAACGCGGCAACCTTACTTAGATGTGATATGCTGTTGTTTCTAAATGTGCAAAGTGTATCTCGTTTGATGTGAAACAGTATTAATCTAGACATGATATACAGTTTACATTTTTATTTGAGGGAATACATTTTTGTTTAGTTTGAGGAACTGAATGGGCAAGTCCCAAATGGGTAAGATTGCAGTCTATTGATAAATGGGGCAACTATTTGTAAGACGCCTAATTTACTTTTTTGGTGTAAGTCAATTTTTTGGCCCTTGGAAAAAAGTCATTCTTTCGCCATCGGATCTTTATCGGAATAACTGTTGTGTTTCTTCTTCCTCCTCATGAGCAGTCCGATCCACCACCTGTCGGGCCGTGTGCTGCCACCACCCGTGACCAGCGGCGCTACTGCACTCGCGTTGTTGCAACAACACTCTCCCCTAGCCTCCCCACCGTCATGCTACTGGCGCCCCCGACCATCTCTCTAAACCTCTCTGGGAGCCAGATTACGCCGACGAGCCAACACACCCCCACTCACACCAATCTAGCCTCTTCCCTGCTTCCGCCGCCGACATCGCAACTCGTTGTCGCTCACAGCGCCATCCTTGTCTCCGACGAGGTCCTGGGTCGACCTCGTCGAGGTCGACACTCCTCGCTCCCGCTCGTCACATCGCCCATGTCTTCGGCCTCGGGTTTCTAATGTATTATGTCTAGAACCAACATGTGCGAATTCAAAATTCAGGAAAGTTTCAAATAGCTTGTGCACCACCACCACCACATTTGCCAAACCCGCCAACCAGTGAGGTCCCTGCTAGGGTTCGTGGATAACGACCAAAACCAACAAGAGTAGGACGAGAGCCAACCACCATTGTCCACAAGAGGTGGCGTTGGCTAACAACGGTGCTGTAGGAGGTGGAGGTTGGTCGGCACTAGGGTTTGTCCACCCATGGCGCCTTAAGGCAACACCGGGCTTTAGGAAGAGTTTCTCATCAACATGTTTATTAAAGATCTTTTGTCAATGTTATATTTCTTTTGTGGCTATATTGATGAAAAGAGTTCCCATGAAAAATATATTCGGTTTCCGTCATTACTTGGTCCCTTGACTGATACATGCCTGCACTCTCTTTGATGAGCAGGCAGCTAACATCATCATGCAAGTTCCAATCATTCAATCGGGAGGTACTGACATCATATGTTGGAAGATACATAATTCAGGAAAATGTACTTCCAAATCCGCATATAGAGCTTGCCTCCAGGATATGCAGGGACATGGAGCGCCAACACCCAGACAGGTACCTGTATGTGCAAAGCAAATTTTAAAATAGACTTATAGATCAAAGGAGATGGTACCCAGAGTATAAACTTTCACATGGAGGCTTCTTAGAAGAGCAATTCCAACAGGTACGAGGCCAGGTAGATTTTCTTATCATATTATAAAACATTGTGCAAGATGTGATCAAGAAGAAAATGATGTACTCATATTCTTCACTTGTCCTTTTGCTAAAGCTGCTTGGTTCTCTGAGCCTTGAAATATTAGGTTTGAATTATTTGTGCAAAACTTTGGTTCAATACTTCCAAAGTTCGAATTACCCCCATGCCTCTTTCAATAACATTACGGCTTTTCTTTGGTGTATCTGGAAGTTCAGGAATCATAACCTTCTTGGCAAGACATCAAACTCCTATGTAGGTATACGCAGCTATGCAAGCAATAATAAAAAGTCAAGATTTAGTATCTTCTACATATACTGCAGGTTCGCCAACAGAATTAATACAGGAAACGACGACATAATCTGCACACAAGCAGAAGCAGGGATGTTCATTAGAAATAAATGCTTAGATTACATGTTGCAAGGTTCACACTGATGTTGCATGGAAGTACACTATAGGCTCCAACAATGACTCAAGCAAAACTGGAATATGAATGAATGAACATGTATCTTAATCTCTGCAGCTCTCAAAAGTGTCGAATCTCAGGCGGAGGCTACAGCTCTACAGGTTGCCGTAAAAACAGCTTCTCACATCACTAACAACCAAATTACTTTCCTAGTGGACAATCTGACACTAGCTCAGGCAACGGCATTAAGGAATCTTCTTCAAGTCGCACTGGCAGATTAGAAGCCAACTAACAAACTTTTTTGCTGCAACAACCAACATTCAAGGTTCAAGCTCAGGTCTCCCATATTCCAAGGGAACTTCATGTAAAAGCTCACAGTTCTGCAACTTCTTCCTACAGAAATGATCATCATCTGAGCAAAAAAAAAAATTTGCTTGTTGTAGAGTAGACATGCAGCACTAGTAGAAAAAGGGCATTTTGTCCCGGTTCTAGAGGGCCTTTAGTCCCGGTTCTGGAACCGAGACTAAAGGGTCGTTACTAAGGGTGTGTTTGGTTCCTGGAATGGACTGGAATGTCATGGGTCGAACTTGTTCCTGGGCCTAGTTCTCGCGTTTGGTTGGTACATGGAACGGTAACCAACACGTCCCCGCAGAGCGAATATTCAGCCCAGATGCGGAACCGAGTGGAACCTCCAAATCGGGCGGACATGGAACCGCTCCTCGTCTCACCCCCGCAAACCCAATCGAGCCTCACCTGTCCTGGTGCGCCGTTGCCCCTCGTCTCTCTTCCTCCCTCGATCCAGTCCGCCACCCCGGTTCCTTCCGATTCTCGCCGCCGGCAGACTCTCCTTTCCTCTCTCTGGATCTGCAGCACCATAGGGGAGTCATGAACGGGGCAGAAGACCCCCCCCCCCTCTCTCGATTTGGAGCTGCGTGCCGGCGTTCTTGCAGTGGGACGGAGGTCTAGGTGGGATTCCGGCAGGCTAACATTGGCGCAGAGGTGCAGCAGACTCTCCTCTCCTGAAGGTATGAGCCTCTCTCACATCCCCGTGTATATGATGCAGCTGGTACTTTTTTCAATCATGGAGATTGTCCAGCCGAGAGAGCTAGTTCGGCTTGTGGTTGTTTTTTGATTCATGGCTGTTTTTTGATCCAATATCTACTCAAATAAATGATATCCAGTATGTGTTTGCAGTATATGCTAACGTGTAACTTCCTTTTTGATTCAAGGAAGAGAAGATCACGCAAGGAAGAGAAGATTTGTGTTCGGTGTGCTATCATTTATGTGTCAAGCTTGTCAATATATACTGATATGTTGCCTTTCTTAAAAATACAAATGAAGTGTTGCCCAAATTTTGAATTTTATGTCGTTTCATTTTTCATTCCGTTCTTCCAACCAAACACCGGAACGGAAACAACCCATTCTACTTTTTTGCCCATACCAAACATAGGAATGGAACCGACCCGTTCCTCTGAAATGAAACCATTTCATTCCATGACAATTGGTTCCTCAACCAAACACACCCTAAAGGCCCCCCACCCCTTTAGTCCCGGTTCTTATACGAACCGAGACTAAAGGCCCTCCACGTGGCTGCTGCCTGGAGATTCATCTTTAGTCCCGGTTGGTAACACCAACCGGTACTAAAAGAATTTTTTAAAAAAAATAATTTTTTTTCTCGATTTTTAAATTAATTTAAAAATAAATTTTTAAATTTTTTTGAACATAGGCTGTCAAAATCGGATGCGGATTTTCGTGCTAAACATTTTAATATATTATACGTTTTTTCCTGACATCGTATGCAAAAGTTATAGCCATTTTACATTTTTCCTACACTTTTTGCAAAGCATGTTCAAATTTAAGTTTTAAATTTTCCTAACTAGTAGATGTAGTAACATAACTACTGAAGGAAATATGCCCTAGAGGCAATAATAAAGTTATTATTTATTTCCTTTTATCATGATAAATGTTTATTATTCATGCTAGAATTGTATTAACCGAAAACATAATACATGTGTGAATACATAGACAAAAACAGAGAGTCACTAGTATGCCTCTACTTGACTAGCTCGTTAATCAAAGATGGTTATGTTTCCTAACCATAGAGATGAGTTGTCATTTGATTAATGGGATCACATCATTAGGAGAATGATGTGATTGACTTGACCCATTTCGTTAGCTTAGCACTTGATCGTTTAGTTTGTTGCTATTGCTTTCTTCATAACTTATACATGTTCCTATGACTATGAGATTATGCAACTCCCGTTTACCGGAGGAACACTTTGTGTGCTACCAAACGTCACAACGTAAGTGAGTGATTATAAAGGTGCTCTATAGGTGTTTCCGAAGGTACTTGTTGGGTTGGCGTATTTCGAGATTAAGATTTGTCACTCCGATTGTCGGAGAGGTATCTCTGGGCCCTCTCGGTAATGCACATCACTCAAGCCTTGCAAGCATTGCAACTAATAAGTTAGTTGCAGGATGATGTATTATGGAACGAGTAAAGTGTTGGAAATATGCCCTAGAGGCAATAATAAAAGCATTATTATTATATTTCTTTGTTCATGATAATTGTCTTTATTCATGCTATAATTGTGTTATCCGGAAATCGTAATACATGTGTGAATAATAGACACCAACATGTCCCTAGTAAGCCTCTAGTTGACTAGCTCGTTGATCAACAGATAGTCATGGTTTCCTGACTATGGACATTGGATGTCATTGATAACGAGATCACATCATTAGGAGAATGATGTGATGGACAAGACCCAATCCTAAACATAGCATAAGATCGTGTAGTTCGTTTGCTAGAGTTTTTCCAATGTCAAGTATCCTTTCCTTAGACCATGAGATCGTGTAACTCCCGGATACCGTAGGAGTGCTTTGGGTGTACCAAACGTCACAACATAACTGGGTGACTATAAAGGTATACTACGGGTATCTCTGAAAGTGTCTGTTGGGTTGACACGGATCAAGACTGGGATTTGTCACTCCGTATGACGGAGAGGTATCACTGGGCCCACTCGGTAATGCATCATCATTATGAGCTCAAAGTGACCAAGTGTCTGGTCACGGGATCATGCATTATGGTACAAGTAAAGTGACTTGCCAGTAACGAGATTGAACAAGGTATTGGGATACCGACGACCGAATCTCGGGC